GCGGAGTAATTATTTCTAACCGATAATATATATATTTTTTTTATTAAAAAGTCATTTAATATATTTCTATTAAAAGTCAGCCACGTACTATATTTTATTTTGAACCTAAAATTTGGATCAAGTGAAGCGGGAGCCGGACATTTTCTAAAATTCAGTAGAGTAAGGCTTACAATACGATGATATAGAATAATTTTTATTTTCAACCGATAAACTATTCTTTCTTATAAAAGTCAGCTACCATATTTTAAGCCAAGATTTCGTATACAAACGTTGAACCCAATTTAGGTTCAACTCTGATTATTTTGAACCTAAAATTTTGGGTTAAATGAAGCGGGAGCCGGACATTCCTAAAATTCAATAGAGTAAGGTTTGAAAGGCTTTCACCTCACTCCCCGCAGCTCCAGCCAATTAAATGCCGATTCAGACATTTGATATAGAATTTATATCTCTCATTAAAGTAATGTATATTGTAACTAATGCTATTTCTTTGATTATTAAATCAGATTTTGCGAATAGATACTATTTTATTTAAACCGCTAATGATTCTATTGCCTTATTTCATTTTGGGCATTCTACATTAAAAGTGTGCATAATAATATCGAGGCAAGTTGCTATTAATTTTGCTTCAAAAAAAAAAAGATTAATTATATATATATATATTGAATTTATGTCGCAGCCCTCAATAATAACGAACATTAATAAACCTTGTACCATTCACTCCACATAACCTGTAGAAGCGGTTGGAGCTACACTGCGCATTCATTATTATTATGCGTCGCTCTCTTCAACCGTTACAGTACATTCGTACATTATATTTATTACCCGTACACCATACTCAGTTTCACCAGCAACTCTAGTACAGATGGTACTGTACGTACGTACGTAATACAATTAGAAGAACTTTCCATACTTATATGGATGCAATTTTCTCTGCCGCTACTCTTTGCTTCAATAAATTCGGAAATTTAAATTTGATTTTAGAGTAATTATGGAAAATACTTCACATATTTGGCTTGAAAAGGCTATTTCTGAAGGACATATTAACAGAATTGAATATAATAAGCTTTCTTATTGTTCAAAGATTGGTGATGGAGGGTTTGGGTCGGTGTCTAAATATAAATGGTATGAGTGTGAATTAATAATTGCTCTTAAATGCCTTAAAGTTGATACAAATTCAAATCAAGATATCCTTCGAGAATTTATTAAGGAGGTATTGTCTACTAAATATGATTATACTTAGTATGCATTATTTTAATTATTAAATTCTCATTTTTTTATCGATAAAGCTTAAGCTATTGCGAAGTGTTTGTTCTCATCCAAATATTATTAAATTCTTTGGTGTTACAAAAGGCATGGATTTTTTTAGCTTAAGAAAATAATAAATTGATTTATACTAAAAATATGTTAATTTCAAACATTCATTATAAAACCAGACGATCATGGATATTATAATATGATTTTACAATTTGCTGCTGATGGAAACTTACGAGAACATTTGATTAACAATTTTACAAACCTGCAATGGACAAACAAAGTACATATTGCAAAGGAAATAGTATGTGGTCTCATGTTCTTACATTGCAACAACATTGTTCATCGAGACCTTGTAAGCATGGTTTATAAATATTTTCATTTTATCAATGCTTAAATATTTAAATAATTTATTTAATATTTCATACTAGCATTCAAAAAATATTTTAATTCATCAAGGTCAAATCATGATTGCAGATTTTGGACTAGCAAAGCAGATAAATGAGACATCAACAACTTCAAACTCAAAAGTTCATGGAATGCCTGCGTATATAGAACCTCAGTGTTTTTCCAACCCAAGGCATAAACGTGATAAAAGATCAGATATCTATAGTTTAGGAGTAATCTTTTGGGAAATTTCAAGTGGAAGACCACTATTCCAATCTGAATCGGGATATTCACTTGCTGTTCATATATCCCGAGGAGGTAGAGAAATGACTTTAAGCGGCAAACCATTACCATATGTTGAGCTTTATCAAAAATGCTGGGACGATAATCCTAGTGTTCGTCCTGAAATAAGATCAGTTTTTGAAACTCTAGATCAAATTCAAAATAATGATTTAATTAAAGATGTAACTGTTGAAACTTTACCTTCAAATCAGCAACATTATATTCATTCGAATTCTCATTCAGCTTCAAATGGAGTTACAGCATCATCACTTTATATTCCCAATAGTTATTCAATGAAAGCGAGTAAGGTTCCTAATAGTTCTTTAATAAAGGAGGTGAGTATTGATCCTATTATATTCTAGATCAAAACTTTACAATAAAATTAATAATCTTCAATTGTTGTATAATTATTAGGTGAAAAATTTTAACTATACTACTTTTGCTGATTGAAATAAAGCAAATCAGGTAAACATCATAATTTTTCTAGCCCTGATACGTCACTGATTAATGGCACCATTCGTGTTATTATCAAGTTGTATATACCTTATAATGACATTGATAACATCATTACAGCTGTATTCATAAATTCTAAAAAACCTAAAAATTTGGTCGCTTCCCAAAATCTCTTTGATCTCGTTTAAGGATCGGCTAAGGAAACTACTTGCTGCCCTTGGAGCTTCAATACAGAGACAACGGCGTAGTTACGTGATTCATGGAGCGAGATTGAAGAATTTCAGGAAACGAGCAAATATTAAGTAATCCAGAATACACATCGGGCTATGATATCTACTGATATACTTTATTTCAACCAGTATTTGTTAGACAGTATATTTTGTTAAATGAAGAAATCTCAGTTTTACAATGAATTTACATTAAATTATTTAATTTATACAATTATGATTAAATTTTTTTAGAGAATTAGACTTGTTATCTGTACGTAAACTTAGAATTCTAAATAAAGTGGTTCGCAAATTAAATGCTAATTTATTATTTTCAATAATTTCAATATCAGCTATCGGTAAGAAATAGTCAAAATTATAGTCGAGAAAAAAATATTGCATAAATATGAATTTGCTAATGATCGGTTTGATTTACGTCTCAATTGGATAGATTTTGGAATAAGGAAGTCGGTATGTTCTTTTTTAAAATTTATCCATTATAGTATTACAGTAATTAAAATAAATATTTTTCTTAATTGTTATTTAACAGGGTTTTGCTTACGCAAACACAGGCAATCCAGAAGTGGTTACAAATGATACTTGGCCAGAGGAGGCGGGTGTAAAAAAACCAAAACGGTATTGAAATATGATCAAAATCTCAACGTAGAAGTGTGGGGGGCACCAGCGCTGAACCAAAAACCTTCACGACGGGCGGAGAGAAACAGTACTTCAAAGCCTGTTAAGTTATTCAAGCTTCATTTATATAATATACCTGAGAAGGAGAAACCTGCGTTGCCAAAAGGATTGGATTATAAGAAGGTTATCACAGATTATTCAACAGAATTAGGTATGTGTTAATTCTTTAAAAAACCTTTATTTTAAAAAACCTAATATATTATATTCCTGAAAATAGGCAAAGTAAGTTTCTGTCACAAAATTCTCTGTAAGCATTCTATTGCTAATTGTTCACCTATCTTCAAATAACAGTTAATCAAAGAATCTGTAGCAACGCGTTGGCCAAATGTTGATTTCATGAATCAAATATTGTTAATTATGGCAGTTCCTGCAGAGTTCTCCGAACAAGCAAACGCTACCATTAGAGAATGTGTATACAAAGCAGGTAAATGAATAAGAAAGTTTTAGAATACATTAAAAAGAGCAATAGTTCAGTGTTTTTGATTCGAAATAGGTTTAATTTCAACCCAATATTCGGAATCATTACAACTACCTACCGAACGTGAGTTTCATATCCTTTATTTACGTCATCCGTGGTGATCACGAAATATTATGAAATATTGATTATATATATATTTTTATATATATTTTAGCTGAGGTTGCCGCTATGTATTGTATGAGTACATTGAAGGAACGTATGATCCTTGATGTTGGCAGTGAGTGTTTTTGATACATATATTATCATATCTCAACATATCTTTAGAGTCGAGTATTTTAATGTCGAATATTTCGTTCTTCTTGGAATGAAGGTACATTCTTGGTATTGTTTTGCGGTGCTGATATTGTGGATCTTACGACTCATGAGTTATTGGAAAATAATAGACTAGGTGAAGTTACTAAACGTTCAGGTGATTTATGCGGAGGGACATCTGTAGATAGGGAGTTTATAAAATTCTTAAGACGAAAAGTTGGTGATTCAGCTATAAATAAGCTGCTTGAAAATCACTACGGTCAATTTCAATATATGGAACAGGAATTCTGTCGCCGTATCAAGTTTCCATTTACTGGTAATAGGAATGATTTTAAAACCTACGAACTTGATATCGAAGAATTATGCCCTGTACTGCCACAATATGTGACCGGAACTTCAAAAGTAAAATTCGAAGAAAATGATTGGATAATTGATTTAGAATATGAAGACGTTAAAAGCCAGTAGTAGACAAGATTATTAAGTTGATTATTATGCATCTTAATAACAGCACAAGAACTTGCGCTGCAATGGGTTTGGTTGGCGGGTTTAGTGAGTCCAAGTATCTTCAGACGAGAATTAAACAAGAGTTTGGAGCTCAAATCAGGGAAATTTGTATCCCAAGCATACCGGTTAAAATTTTTTTTCTTGAGATTAAAAAAAAAGCTATCAGTTGTATATATTTATATGCTTACAAACTTCATTGTACAAACTTAATATTTTGATAGATTACTGCGGTAGCAAGGTGCGAATTTATAAAGTACAGATCAACATAAGATATCCTTGTTAAAATAGCAAGTTATCCAATAAATAAAAAAAAAAAGTCCTCTTTAGAATTGATGGTTATTTGAGTAGAACTTTACATTTTAAAAGGGTTTTGTTTTTTGCGTGTTCTGTATGCGGATTGAGAATTTTGCGTCTATTTAAGCGTTTTTTATTATATTGGATATCTTATGTTGAATTGTGCTGTAAAAAGTTTTTTATTCAAAAAGTTAGAATTATTACATTATATTAACTCAATCGATTTTCTTAGAGGTGGGGTTTACTACGGCCTAAAGTTGGTATCGGCAGATGACAAAAATTTTTCCTCAGTTTTTAAAATTCAACTGTCTATCAAAACTAAATAAATATTTATTCGTTTTATAGCTTAAGAAATTATCTATTTAATAGAAGTTTTATTATTATTAATTTTAGCATTTACCACTGTTGGCGATATCACACCCTTTATATAGTTTAGGGTTAGGGTGCGATTTTAGAATAAAGGAGGAGTTTTATATAATTTAATGTAGATTAGATATAAGGTCCCGCTTTCAGTTCTCGTGAGATAATCGGACTTTGTTTACTTAGTACGTATGTACGTGTGATATCGCCACTGGCGATAGGGTATATAGTATATTAGTACAGTACGGTAGTATAAGTTAGTACGGACATTAAAAAAAAAAAAAAATTAAAAAATCATACTCAGACGAACACATGCGTAGTACATAATCAATTACGTATACTACATATATTGTTAATTGCATAATTATTTTATTAATATGATTGATTGCACGATGATTTCTATATTTGCTAATAAATTCGCTTTTTATAGTAAAAACTTAACCTTTCTTGTTCGCTTGTTGTGCAAGTATCAAATATGGATAATATGTTGGATATATCCGACATTGAAGAAGTTCTATATGACCAAGTAAACCCTGAATTCGAACAAGTAAATATATAAATAAATATTTAGAATCAGTAAATGCGATTTTGTTTTAAAAAATTAAACAATTATCAGGAATCAGAAGCAGAGTCATTGGTAGATGAATCAATTGATGAAGAGGAAGAAATTCCAGAAATGGCATGTTTTACATTCCAGTTTCATATAAAACTATAATCCACACCAACATACCCATAGAATATCCATCTAACTCACCAGAAGGTGTTGCAACATTATTTCATATTGCAAATTGGGCTGATCCAAACCATGCATAGAAAATGTAAATTATAAATTTTTTTTAAATTTGAAAATTAATTTAATTTAAACTGTATAACTTTTATTTATAATTAATTTAGATATAATATTCTATGGGTGGTGGTGGGATTCATTTGGTTAAAAAGTCATCATATTTTGGCAATATTCAAGTACATAAAGAAGAGCATGTGATAGCATGGGAATAAAAGTTTGTTGATTTACTGATTCTTTACTTACAAATATTGAGTATAATGAGGTCAATATTAAATCATCATTATGGAAAAGAATTACTAAAAATCAGAATATTGATTTTAAAAAAGCAAATACTTATGTGTAAGTATATATTTATATATATTTAATAATAAAAATATATTAAATTTTTTTTAAATATAGTACATATTTAGCCACCAAAGATACTTCTTGCAAATTTAAATACAATAATAAATAAATTTACATGTTCTGGAAATCCAATATTATGTAAATCACAAATTTCTCAAGATATACAAAAGGTATATCAATGGTTTGTTGGCTGCTCAATATATCATATTGGAGATCAATAGCATTGCTACATTAAAATTAATAGTGAAAAAGTTGATATTATTCTTTTTTGAGATCTATTTCTTGAAAAAGAAGAGATATTTTTTATATAAATTATTTTATATAATTAATTTTATATAATAATAATTATATTATTGAATATATTTAGATACAGGAAGAATTACCTTATTGCACAACATTGTTATATCAATCATTTAAAAGAAAAAATGTAGTATGTATATAATTAATTACTTTTTTAAATAATTTATTTTAAGTTTATAGTTCTGTAGTTTATTTATATAATATATATATATATTATATTTATTAATTATCTAATAGAAAGATTGACCATGGAGATATAATTCAAAAGCATTGTCCTGTAAAGTTTTACAAATTTATACCACAGGATCTTAAAGCTTGTTCATTTGTTGCAATAGTATGTATCAGAACACCACCTTCACCTCCAGAAAAATACCTCAAATATTAAATTAAATCTTCAAACTTTAATTGCCTGAGCAATTGAAGATAATGATACAATTACTCCATAATATATTCAATCAAGTAAAAATTTTTTTATTTAATTAAATTATATTGTTAAATTAATTTAATATAATACTGTATTAATTTTATAGACAATTTAATAAAGACATATTTTAATCTTTCTGAAATTCATTAGTCTTTAAATTGTTTAGACAAATTGCATGTTTTAGTAGCAAAAGCATATAAAAATATGCATTTCTATAGACAGGGTATATCAGGTGTTTTTCATGCTGCAAAAAATAATTATTCTGAAATTAAGAATTATATTCATCATATTAGTAAATTTATATTATATATATATAGTTAATTTATATTAAAATTACTAAATTCTAATTAATTTATTTTATATATAATGAGTTGATTCTGGTTTTATATTAATTATTTATATGTTGAAACAACAAGCCAAGTTATTAATTGAACTAAAAGTTTTCAGATTAATTTAGCTTTTAAACATTTTAAAAGTGATATTAATGAATTTGAAGTTAATACTTATAATGCAAAAAATAAATTAAGTAAATATTTTTAATATTTTAAAGGGATTATATATGTACTCAAAGGTACATATACCCATATCATCTGATCTATAGATCACCACTAAAATTCAAGATTAGGTGTAACATTACACGATCAGGAAAATTCAAAACAAACGTTTGTTTTGACAAAAATTGCTCATTTTGCAAGAAATTGCATACTAAACCACT